CAAGAGCTCCAGCTACTACGGCTCGCAGACCGGAAGAGGAAAAACACAACTGCTACTGGATTACAAGAATAAAATAAACTCCACTCTAGATCTACCGACTCCATGTACTTCACCGATTCAAGGTCTTTTGGCGAGCTGATATTGTTGTATGCCATTTTTGCATAGAAGAGCTACTTGTCTTGGTTGTAGAGGGTTTTTGTTGGAAAATTCGTCTATTTGTTCCTTCCAAACGTTCCACCAAAAATAGATTATTATTCCATCTATCATTTTCCTCTGACTTCTGTCAAACTTTGCACGGCATTTGTGCGAGAAACCATGTAACGATCCCGTGGCTACCACTGAGTCCACTGCCGATAGTTGCAACCACTGTCCAAACTTCTTTTGTAATCAATTTTTCTCTCTCCTGTAGCATCGTTTGGAATACAGGATTTAGTAACTTCCTTTCCAAAGGAAAGTTTCATGTGCTTGTACGTTTTGGAGGAAAACAAACATCCAGTTCTATCTCTTGTTTTTCTTTCCTTCACAAAGTCCAAGACAATGAAGCACAATAGCGTGTCTGTTGGCCTGCAAGCTGGTTGAAACCTTGTACAAAAGTCTAATCATATACGTTAACATCGAGTCTGAGTGTGCCTTTCATTCCTGTGTTCCAAACACTAATGTTTCAAAAATTTATGAGTTGTTCATTCCTCTGTTTTAACACTACACTCCTAACTCTTTCCTATGTTCTGTTCAATTCCTATGTTTTGCATTCCTACGTTCCACACATGCCCTAAGTGTTCTAGCCATCAAAAGTACTTAAAAATATTTGGTGAATAACGTGGTGCTTTGCAAAGTGCTTATACTAGTTAATTAGACCACTCAATTGGCGCTTTGATCTAGGCTTAGCTTAGTGTTTGGTGAGTTTTGCATACCACTTAGTCACTCGGTGCTTGCGTGCACTATTGTTTTGGGGCAAAACTGTCCAATTTAACTTTCTTTCAAGTGCACCTGTCATCCATTTGATACTAAGTATCCAAGAAACCAAATCAAATCCAGTAATCTATTAAGCACAATCAATGAGAGAACTAGAAACAATCCACCTTTTCATCCAAAATTTAGAAACATGTAAATAAATTTTACAACATTCTTAATTCATTTCATACATTACAACAGTTATTACAAAACAAGATTTAATAAATATAGCATAAGATAAAACATTTATATAAAAAAGTAGCAGAAGCCTAAAACTTTTCTTAAATTCAACAAAATTTAGAATTGAAAGATTCAAAATATTGCGTCGGAGCAATGAAACGAAGCCTCACTGAGTCCACCAAGAGGTATCCACATCCAGCGTCTACCTGCAACATGAGGAATAAAACACTAAGTATACAATGTACTGAGGTAGACTTACCCGACTAGGTGGGAGTAGTCTCCTGACTCTCAACGATACGTTTTTTGCATATGTTTTGATAAGTAGATTTTATAGGTCTAGTTAGTTTTATGTTGGCAAATTTATCACCTTCGGTCTCTTCAACGGCTAACAATAATATTTTAGCAGACACTACCGGAAACGTCAAATTTGCCGAGTGTTTTTATGTTTGCCGAGTGTATTATCTCGGGCACTCGGCAAACAAGTTCTTTGCCGAGTGCTGCGTTAAAAACACTTGGCAAAAAAAAACACTCGACAAAGAGGAGGTTTGTCGAGTGTAAAAAAAACACTCGGCAAAGAGGGGGTTTGCCGAGTGTTTTCTTTTTTGCACTCGGCAAAGAAATAAAATCTTTTTTCTGGGAAAGAAGGAGAAGAAAGAAAATGAAAAAAAACTTTGCCGAGTGCCCAGATCTAGGACACTCGGCAAAGAAATAAAAACTTTTTTCTGGGAAAGAAGGAGAAGAAAAAAAATGAAAAAAAAACTTTGCCGAGTGCCCAGATCTAGGACACTTGGCAAAGGGAATAAAATCTTTTTTCTGGGAAAGAAGGAGAAGAAAAAAATGAAAAAAAAACTTTGCCGAGTGCCCAGATCTTGGACACTCGCTAAAGGGGAAAAAACTACTTACTGTGTAAAAAAGAGGCAGGAAAAAATAAAAAACAAGCTTTGCCGAGTGCCTCCCATCCCGCACTGGGCAAAGCAAAACTCCTATAACCCGGCCGCAGCCACGCGCAAACCCCCCACCGCCAGCCCTTCTCCCCCCCCCCTCCCTTCTCCAAGCACAAGCGCTTGCCTCGCCCCTCCTTCTCCACGCTTCACAAGCTCCCTCGCCTCCTTCACCACGCACGCCTTGCCCTGCCCGCCTCTTCCTTCTCCCACGGGCGCCCTTCCCTCCCGGCCAGATCTGGCGGTGGCCCCTCCCCTCCCGGCCAGATCCGGCGGCAGCCCGGCCACCCCTCCTTCCCCCGGCCGCCGCCCCCTACCCTTCTCCCCGGCGCCGCCCCCTCCACTCCTTCCCCAGATCCAGCGGCGGCCCCTCCCCTCCCGGCCGGATCTTGGCCACCCCTCCTTCCCCCGACCGCCACCCCCTCCCCTTCTCCCCGGCGCCGCCCCCTCCACTCCTTCCCCAGATCTGGCGGCAGCCCCTCCCCTCTCGGATCCGGCGGCGTCCCGACGGCCGCCCCTCCCCTCTCCCGGATCCGATGGGTGGCGTGGCGGCTGGTGGTGTGCGGCGTGGCGGGTGGCGTGGTGGGCGGCGGCCGGTGGTGGCGTGGTGGCCGTGGTGGGCGGCGGGCGGTGGCAATTTGTTTTTTTATTTCTTGCAAAAAATGTTTGCCAAGTGTTTTTTGGGCACTCGGCAACGTCTTTGCCGAGTGCCCGACGAAAAACACTCGGCAAAGTTAGTTTGCCGATGAATTTTTTGCCGAGTGCCCTTTACCGAGTGTTACACTCGGTAAACCCTTTACCGAGTGTATTCGTGGCTTTGCTGTGTGGCTCCCGTTCCCGGTAGTGAGAGATCACACATAAATACGTGTGAACAGACTTACAAACAAAAGCAACAGCGTAAGAGCAACTCCAGTAGACCCCTACTTGAGCCATCATAACTAAATATGGGTGCACAGGCCAGAACCACAGCTATAGCAGGGCCATGCATGTAAACACCATGCATGCCTTTAGATATCAGAGTGTCTAGCGCCTGGACATTCGGACTGGGGTAGCATCTGGACCCCCACGCCTGCTTCACTGGCTCGCGCCGCACCATGTCCCGCGCCCGCACCATGGCCCGCGCCGCTCCTTGTCCCGCGCCCGCACCGTGGCTCATGCGTGCTTCATGTCCCACGCCGCTCTAAGCCTAGGCAAAATACCCGATATCCATTACCCATAACCGAATTACCCGAACCCGGACCCAAATTACCCGAACCCGAGGTACCCGATCCTAAATTCGGATAGCGATTTTGATTACCCGAAATTAGTTTGGGTAATTCGGGTAATATCCCCCGGTACCCAAACTACCCAAACATTTGTCTCTGTCTTTGTATTTATCATGTGTAGTTAGTTAAACACTTGAACTTACTACTTTATTAGAATGTAATTCTCTCTGTTTGAACAAGTGACTGCAATACATTATTCTCTACAAAATGTTATTGAAATTCTATATAAATTGTTGCTGAAATTATATATAAGTTGCTATTGATAGTTGTGTAGTTTGTTGTTTTTTTGTAAATTTGGGTATATCGGGGATACCCGAACCCGAACCCGAATTATCGGGTACCCAAAATTATGGTTAGTGTTTTTTCAGGACTAATATCGGGTAGCATTTTTCATTACCCGAATTTTGAATTACCCGACCCGAAAAAATCGGGTAACCCGAACGCCTAGGCCTATGCCGCTCCAAGTCGTACCCGCGCTCGCACCGTGGCGCCCCCTCCACACCCACAAGCATGCAGGCGGGCCCAGCAGGCAGATGGATCCCACTGCAACATGTGCAACACTAGATCTACTTTGGCAACATCTAGATGAAACACTTGCAACATACGTCCAAAAATAATTCAAACACTTGCAACATATGTCTGAAACACCAGGAAAACATGTGGGTAGCCATTGGAAAACATACACAACATCCAAATAAAACACTTGTAACATAGGTGTGAAACATATGTAACATTCGGATGAAACACACCTGCAACATATGTCTGAAAAAATAGATGAAACATTGGAGATAGACGTTAGCAACAAAAGTGTACAACCATTGCAACATCCCGATCTACTTTTGCAACATCCATAAGAAACTCTTGCAACATACCTCTGAAATAACTGAAACATGCGCTTTTAGGGCAATGTGACCTGCTACTTGGACGAATGGAGCTCGTCCTTGTCGAGCTTGACACCGGCGCGGAGCTCTTGATGCCGCAGAGTGCGCGGAGGTCGTCGGTGCGGAGCTCGTTGGTGGCCCAAACCTCGGCAGTGGCTGCATCAAGCGGATTGAGCGTGGCCGCGATGGTAGGCGAGAGTCCGGACGGTGAGCTGGCGGGCGGCGCTGATGAGCGGTGCAGGCGGAGAGTCTGTCCCGCGAGCGGAGGCGGCATGGGCGAGTCACGAGTGGATTCCGTCCCGCGAGCGAGGGCGGCGCGGGCGAGCGAAGTCCGTCCTGCGAGCAGGGGCGCGTAGCGCCAAGCAGGTGTGCGACGTGGGTGGGGCTTGAGTATGAGTGGATGAGGATGGGTCCATGGATGAGTGATGAGGATGACGTCCCGACGGGAGTCACGGGACGGATGCCTGTGAGATATCATTATCGTTTAGATAATGATCTCTATCTAGAGTCAGCTGAATTATAGGATATAGTGGCCTGTAGAAATTTGTAATTTTTAGAGACAGGTAGAGGTGGGTGGAGCAGGCGTTTCCACGAACTCATTCTAACCGCCTCTAAATTAAAGATTGTCTCCGTAGTACTACTGGTCTAAGTCCCATGAAAAAGTTGTACACAAATCACATGTTAGGAAAAAGAGTGAGAAGTAGTCACGTTGGGAAAACTTAGATCTAGCAGAAAAATATTTTGCTTATTTTCCAAAATTACAATATGTTTTCTAGCGAAACCTATATGGACACTTCCAAAGGACTGAGCTCGACAGACACCTTGCTGGCTACCACCGCAACAAACAAGAATAGAGTTATTAAATCCTAAAATAAAGAACATTGATAATCATTGAGATCTACCTAAATGTACAGTTCATAGTTAGTAATCGTTTTTCTTTTTGAACGGTAACATCCATCTACTGCGTATATGAAGAGCCGATGAATCCTAACATCGTTTTTGTTGAAGTCCGAATTCGAATGGCAAACACAGAATCAGTACGCTACAACAAGAGCCGATGAAATACACAATGAAGATTTAAGAAAGATACAGAAGTTCATCGAAGACAACCCCGAATTAACCATGGAACAGGCCGCGAACATCTATTATGATGTACAAGGGACGGGAACACCGGCAATGAAGTATGAAAGGGACAATCTTTTGGTTCCTGATCACGAGTATAAAAATTTAACAACATATATGCGCCAGTTGCATGAATATTACATGGCTCAAACAACAGAGACGGAGGACTTTGGTTTCGAGGTTATTATCCGTTCGCCATATGTTTTTCATTACTCGAAAACAAAAAGAAAAAACTGATCTTGGGCCGGAACTGGCACAGTGGCCCGGCCCAGCTCTGGCCTTTCATTCGCGCCCACGCGCGCTGCGCTGACCCAGGGCGCAACCTGGGCCTGGGCCGGCAAAGCAGCCTGGCGCGCTCGCCCGCCTGGGCCGAGAGCGGCCTGGCTGATCCGGCGCCGTTGGATTCAATCGGACGGACGTCCGCGCGTCTCGCCCAAACAAAAACCCGCGCCGTGGCTCATCCCCAAACCCTACCGTCATTCGCCCCTCCCTCTTCTCTCTCTACACCCGCGCTCCTTCTCTTTTCTGCAGCAGCAGCGGCAGTCCGAGCGAGTTGAGCGGGCGAAACGGTGGAGCGATGGCGCCGTCGCCGGCCCCCTCGCCGGCGTGCGCGCTCCCCACCGGGTGAGCGCGCCGCCGTCGAGCGGCCTGGCCGCGGCGCCCCTTTGGCCAGAGCCCGGCGAGCAGCGCCCCTGGCTCGGCCTTCTTGTCCCCGCACGCCGGCGAGGCAGCAGCGCTGCTCAGCGGCGAGGTAGACCTCCCTTTCCCCAACATCCCCTCTGATTTGCTTCTTTCTTTTCTTTCGGAGTTAAACCGATTTGGGGTTGGGGTCAGGGTTAGGGTTCGGCTTGGAGGGCCGAGACCCCTTTCTATTCTCTTCTCATATCCGAACACCGACGTTCTTTTCTTGCCACGCGCCGGGGAAGACGACGGTGCGGCAGCTTTCCCCGCGCGGTGACGGTGGTGACCGGCAGTCAGGGACGCCCGCCACCCTCCTGTTCTCTTTTCTTTGACCCGGTTAGGGTTAGTGTTTTAATCCGAAACGGATCGAACCCTTGTTCTTTCTTTTCTATTTTCAATGCTCTACCCCATACTAGATTTAGACATTAAGCAACCTTGGCTCTGGTACCATTGTCAGGATAACAGTGTGCCTCTAAACTGTAGATCGGGGTAAGCATCTTACTTAGGGTTCCTTTAGTTCGCCCTGGCGCAGTTGCGCCGCAGCCTCGTGGACGCCGGTGTCGAGGAAGCTCGGTGCGGTGGAGTCCAGCGTCGTGATGGTGAGGTCCAGTGGCGACGGCGGAGTCGGTGGGGCTTCCCGTCGCTGGCAGCACTTAGAGCATCTCCAAGAGTTCCCTATTTATCTTCCTAATACTTGATTTTTAGAAAAATCAGAAAAAATCCCTCCCCAACAGTTCCTAACCCATTCTCCTAATATTTAGGCACTTGGGAAAATTGACCTAGTTCCGCGTAACTTTACGCGGCTCGAGTCGCGCGGATCCTCTCCCGCGCGGTTTCCGCCATCGTAGTCGCTGTAGTTGATGTGCTGGACGGCGTCGGGCCGACCAGCTCGTGCTCCACGTCCTGGTACAGCGAGCCGCCGCAGGCGACGTTGAGCACCTGCGAGCCGCGGCAGATGCCCAGGTAGGGGATGTTGCGCTCCAGGCAGCGGCGCGCGAGGCGGAGCTCGATCGAGTCCTTTTCGTGGTCGATGGCCGCGTCGCTCGGGTGCAGGCGCCGCACGGCCTCCAGCTGCTCCAGCGAGAGCGAGCCGTCGGTGCCGGCGTCGGCGGAGTCGTAGAGGTACGGGTCGATGTCCTCGCCCTCGCAGAGGAGCATGCCGTGGATGGGCTCGAACGAGTCCAGCAGCGCGTGCACCCCCGCCACGCGCGGCACGATCACCGGCACCGCGCCGTAGCCCACGATGAGGTCCAGGTGGTACTCACCTGATGAGGACACAGACAAACAGCGCACGCATGCGCCATGCAGGGGCGTCGTCAGTTGCATACGAGTACCGTCCAACGAAATCCATGACCATTTGTTCTACTATACAAGGCTAAATTAATGACGAAACCTCTCCGTCTCCGTGATGCCGCCGGGGGCAATCGGAAAGGAAAACTCATCGACGAAGTCGACGAACTTGTTCTTGTGGACTGTGACGTCTGGCGACAGAAAAAAAAGCTGCAAAAAATAGATGTGAGACCCAAATTTGATTTTTTAAAAGCAATTTATTAGAAACTCTTGGAGATGGTTTTCTTTTTTCCCTCCCAATACTTTTTTATGAGTTATAAAACTCTAAGTTTTATGAGTAAAAAATAGGAAACTCTTGGAGATGCTCTTACTTTAGATCGGATTTGATTTTCTGTTGGTGGTTACGGCGGCTCCGGTCAACCTCGTAGTTAGAGCCGTGAACCCCACCTATTTTTTATAGTGCTGTGCGACAGGGGCCCACCAACCATATTAGGGTTGAGCGCCCCCGATCAGGGCGCAGATCCAAGGGCCCAGGCCGTTAGGTGGAGATCAACTAACGGACTGAAAACAGATTTGCGAACGGATACTGTATTGGCCCCAGGTAGCTTGATTCTGGGCTGCTGCTGGTACCGAGAAGCTGCCTGATTCTGCTGATGAGGGATCTGCTGCCATGAACGGTCCTCTTCTAAGGAAAAATTTCTTAGCTCAAACCTCCAGTTAGGACCTCCATTGTTCCATAAGTGAAAGAACAGCTTGTACAGTATCACCGTGCATGCAGAGACGTGTTCCAGTGCGAAACAACGACGAGCGTTCGTGCCTGTCGTTTCCTTCAGAGGAAAGGAACGAACGTGTTCTCTAGTGACGCACACAAACACGGCTAGTGTCCTGCTTATATATGTCACGCGTGACGACTGTGATTAAGTCTGTAACCATTTTCCTCTCATACCGCGTTAGGAACCATTCGTGGACGGTAGTAGAGAAGCGGAAAATCAACAATCCGTACGTGTGCACTACCGTACCACGCGACGGTCTTCCTCGGAGTACATCTTATTTGTCGAGATATATATGTATTTGCAAATAGCTAATATAAAACACATGTCGCTTCCGTTCTTTAGTGCTAAATAGTTGTCATTAATACCCTAAAAAAACAAGACAAGGTAAACAAATTAAAAATGCATGAAGTTATGTTGAGCTTTACATTTGTGTATGTAAAAAATATATAAATACATGAAATTGTAAAATTAATTCTAGAATTTAAAAACTTGGAAGCATAACATTACAAATTTTGTACTGCTAACTTTGAACTATCATATTATAAACTTTGCACTGCTAGGTTAAAAAACTTTACACTCAGAATTTATAAACTTTGAACTAACATATTACAAACTTTGTACCGCTAGGTTCAAAACTTTAAACTATCACATTATAACCTTTGCAAAACTTTGAACTATCATATTATAAACTTTATGTTGCTAGGTTCAAAACTTTACACTCAGAATTTATAAACTTTTAACTCTGACATTACAGACTTTGTACTGGTAGGTTCAAAACTTTAAACTATCACATTATAAATTTTCTACTGCAAGGTTCAAAACTTCACACTCATAATTTATAAAACTTTGAACTATCATATTACAAACTTTGTACCGTTAGATTCAAAACTTTAAACTATCACATTATAAACTTTATATGCTAGGTTCAAAACTTTATACTTAGAATTTATATATTCTGAACAATGACATTACAAACTTTGTACTATTAAATTCAAAACTTTGAACTATCACCTTATAAACTTTGTACTGCTAGGTTCAAAACTTTACACTCAGAATTAATAAATTTTGAACTATGACCTTACAAACATTGTACCGCTAAGTTCAAAAACTTTAAACTATCACATTATAAACTTTGAACTTTCACATTACAAACTTTGTACTGCTAGAGTCCATACTTTAATCTATCACATTATAAACTTTTTACTGCTAGGTTTAAAACTTTACACTTAGAATTTATAAACTTTGAACTATGACATTACAACTTTGTACTACTAGGTTCAAAATTTTAAACTATCATATTATAAACTTTATGCTGCTAGGTTCAAAACTTTACACTCAGAATTTATAAACTTTGAACTATCACATTACAAACTTTGTACTATTAGGTTCAAAACTTTACACTCAGAATTTATAAACTTTGAACTATCACATTACAAACTTTGTACTGCTAGATTCAAAAACTTTGAACTATCACATTATAAACTTTGTAGTGCTAGGTTCAAACCTTTACACTCTAAATTTATAAACTTTGAACTATCATATTACAAACTATGTACTGCTAGGTTCAAAACTTTGAACTACCACATTACAAACTTTACAAACTTTGTACGGTTAGACTCAAAACTTTACACTCAGAATTTATAAACTTTGAAATATCATATTACAAACTCTGTACTGGTAGATTCAAAACTTTCAACTATCACATTATAAATTTTGTACTGCTAGGTTAAAAAAAATGAGCAAGAAAAACATGGTCAATTGTTTTTACCAGAGGTAAAAGTTAGCAATGTTGTAGGAAGTGTACCAGACTATACATCAGTAAAATGTGGAGAAATAACCAATTCAATCTTTCTCTAGAAGACCTTTTTTCTTCACTTGCTTCCGCAGACTATCGACCTGCAAAATTGGAGGTAAGTCAATAATTGATGAATCTTCAAACTGTCATATGGAAACAATTATGTGATGGCTCCTCAACTAACATACAGAATTAGACACGAGACTTGGAATTTAACATCAAAATTGTATTGAAAGAATCATGAAACACCATCGGCTATAAATTTAAAAGGGCAGTAGAAACATCTCAATTCATCGATGCACTAAAAAAAATCTAAATTAAATATTCATTTTAATATGTAATCAATAGTTTGAAAATAAAAACTTGCGAGCTAAATCTGCAAACTTTGAAGTAGGACTTTGTATCCAGGATCCAACTTTTAAACTTTCAATACAAATGTTGCAACAATTAACTATAACACTCTTAAACTTTATACACTGAACTATAAAACATTTTAATTGTAAAGTTTGCCCTTTAAATTTAGAAGCTTCATGTCCCACAATCCTATAATTTGAACTTCTATATTCAAAAAACCTGAATTCGAATTTCTGCCACGAATCTTAGAAAACTTGAACTATGACTATAAACTTTCTACTCTACACTATGAAATTTTGTAATACTAGTGTGGCACAACTCAAAAGCACGGGATTATACAGACATGTTTCATTTCATTATTTATAGATATTCCATATGCACATATACTAACCATAGTTCTGAAATTGTTTTAATGAACAGTTATTTCATAAATGTATCTGCAGTAGTCAAGCACGCAAACCATGCAGCAGGGTAATTCAAAATAATGTTGCTTAATGTGTAGAAACTACTGAAATTGTTCTCATGGTTTCAGTTTATAAAATTAACCCTCAAATGCTATGTTAACTTATTATACAAAAATTCAACCTTTAGACAAGAATGCAAGTCCAAATCACAAAAGTTTACTTAGTCATCAGTCCTGATGCGGCTCAACACAGTTTTGACTCCATACAAGCCTTAGAGAAAATTTCATATTTGACACCAGAAATAATGATGCTTTTCTATTTGACACCGAAATTAAAATTCTTTCCTATATGTCCTCCACTTAAGTTTTTCTTTCCTATTTGACATTTTCATCAGTTCTGTTAGCAACTAACGTTAGTTGTCCAAATGAGGCAATGGGAAAAGACCGTTATGCCCTTTGAGGGAAGCAAATGATAGGGGCACAACGGTCTTTTCCCATTGCCTCGCTTGGACAACTAACGTTAGTTGCTAACAGAACTGACGAAAATGTCAAATATGAAAGAAAAACTTAAGTGGAGGACATATAGGAAAGAATTTTAATTTCGGTGTCAAATAGAAAAGCATCATTATTTCTAATGTCAAATAGAATATTTTCTCATATATATATGTACATCATTTTTGGCGGCTTGGGCTTGGCTCTAGGTGACCAGCGGGTCCATATACATATATATATAAAGGCAGGCATGGACATAGATTGTCGTCTCCCAGTTCCCATACTACGTACCTCGTTGCCATATTCTTCCTGCTCCTAGGCTCCTAGCTAGCTATCAGCTGCGTTTTTGTGCGCCGCCGGCCGTGCGATCAGGACAACATGGGTGGACTCGGTCCAGGTGCGCGCACATGCATCCTTTTTCTTTAATTTTTTTTTTTGAAAAATCGCGCGCATGTATCTCTGATGAGATCATTCAAATATAATGCATTTATTTATTGTGTACAAGTGAAAAATGTGCAGGATGCTTTGTCGTCGTTTAATTTCTAGGATGTCAGCATACGTAGTCGATTTTTGGTGGCCAATCATATCAATGGACGCCACCGGCAGCGTCTTCTTCATCGGTGAGCTCTGTGGGCCGGTTTGGGTTCCTCACCGGGTAGTGACGACATCCCTAGAGAACGATGATGTTGTCCATTATAGGGCCTCCCGGTGCAGGCGGCAGCCGGCAGGAGTGGAGAGGTGCAGTGAGGCGGCAGTGGTCGCCCATCGCCAATCTTGGGATTTGGAGGAAGCTGCTTGGACAGAGTAGTGAGGGTGCCCTCGCTACAATATAATCCTCGTTTATAGAGGCGGGCAAATATGGTTTACAGAAGCGGCTCTCACATTTACCACTGCCATGAGGCCTCTGTGAGTGTGGATTAGTAGATGGGCCGGGCCACCGATCGAGAAGGAGGGAGAGGGGGCAGTCATGCGCGTGTCGCTGGTAGGGAGGGCCTGAGCGTCGCCTTGGGCCGGATCTGCCTCCACTGAGAAGAGACAACAAGGGGGGAAGAAGAGGCAAGATCGAGAGACCGGCGATTGGTGGGGGTTGAGGTTGAGGGAATTAGAGTTAATGAGTTAGGAGTGTCAGCTAGGGGAGCTAGGGTTTTATTTTTATTGGCCGCTCTATAAATTCCTCATTTATATAGACGATCATCTTAAGAGGTTCATCTCTGTAAATCAATTTATTGGGTAGACATATCTTTTGAACGTCTTCCAAAATCCACTGTCTTCTAAAATCATTTAGAGAGACGGCCATATAAAAATGTTGTGTCTAAGAATAAAAGCCAGTGCCTACTAAATTTGTTTTCCTAAATGTGCACCTGTAATAGGCGGTGGGTGGACTGTGGAGTTGGCACGGCGCCGATGGTGACGACTAATCTAAGCATGGTGAAGAGGGCGTCATGGGTGTCAGGTTGGTGTGTGCTGCCAAGAGGTTTGGTCGTCGATGGGGAGCAAGAGGGTGCTAGATTTTGAAAAAGGCCCACACATAAGCATATTGTGGTGCTCAACAGGCCCTCAGGCAGTGTACAACACTGTTCAGCACCATTGTAGTACTAGGGCTGAAAACGAAACGAAAATACCCCGTACCGAACCGCATCGTTTTCTACATCTAATCCAATTAAATTCGTATTTTTGGATAAATTTGAATTCGGTTTGAAATTTGGAACATCAAATTTGAAATCAGAACAAAAACAGTTTTAACATTTTTTCGACCATTTTCTACTTTTCTACTTTTCTACTTTTAATTCAGAATATCCCGATTTCGAAATTCGGTTTAAACCAAATTTGGCCCACTAGAAGTCCAGCCTTAGAACGATCTCGGATGAAGATGATTTTTATATAAAAATTGTAGCTGTCGATGAGATCTACAC